ATTCAATTCTCAATTGTAATAGAAACCACACACCCCGAAATTTGTTTTAATATCACATCATATTATAATAAGTAATTAACATAAAATAAATTATAGGTAGTGTCTTTCAAATACAAATAAACATTGATTGGTGGCTTGGTGAAGCAAGGTCGTAAACTCAATCTTCGGAAACGTTATGAGTATACGTACCGGCCGGCGTTGTTAGCTTCCGGATTAGTGACCACCAGGGCTTTTAGCAACATGTCCTTGCCACACATATACTAAACAAGTGTTATAATCCTTCCAACGTACAAACCTATACAAAAAAAACTCCCTGCCGTACCACCCCACACCCAATGATCTATGTTGCCGAGGGTTCCCCTAATAAAAAAAACCGGCCAAGTGCGAATCGGACTCGCGCACGAAAGGTTCCGTACCATTATCTATAAGAAGTTCTTGTATTAGAATTATATATTATATTTCTTATATTCTTCTATTCTTATTAAGAACGACCACAAAATCATGTCTGTTGTATGGGAGCCCCCTTAAATATTTATTTTATTTTATTATTAGTATTTGTTGATGTAGTGGCAATAGAAATACGTCATCTGTAGAAATTTGAACCGTCTAAGTATCATGGTTCTTGAGACACAGCCTGGTGACAGACGGACGGACGGACGGGCAGCAAAGTCTTAGTAATAGGGCCCCGCTTTACCCTTTGGGTACGGAACCCTAAAAAAAACTTTGATCGCCATTATTTAAAATAACAATATAATTAGTGTAAAATAAATTAGAAATAGTATCTACCTATATAAAAAAAGTGTGAACAACACTTCTTGAATTCAACATAATACAAACCATATAGTTTCAACTAGTTAATACTACCATTGATTAGTATTTATAATCAATGATACTTCCAACCAACTAATCAATAAACGATTTCTATAAAATGTATGAATAAAATGACCATATTAATACCTAGTAGTTACATTCTTATACAGTTATTAAGTAATACAGTTGTTTCTATAAAGTTCAAGTATTAATAATGATTTTGTGATCTAAAAACTTAATATTTTAAATTTTTAACGTATACTTTAGATTTGTGAAACAACTTCTACATTATATGAAATATGTTACATATTTTCTTTGTTTCATACAATAAAGCAACTTTTAAAATGTTCACTTACAAGTTGATGACTATATGAACGTTTATGTATAATTAACATTAGACATATTTTTTTTTGATAGAAATAAAATATTTTAAGAAAATGAATTTCATGACATTTTAAAACCTTATTAACAGGGTTCTGTTTTACTATTGTTACTACTAAGAGTCACGTTTATTTATTATCAATCTGAAATTGGTTTTTAAACATATTTTTGCTTACTAGTCGACCCGTGATGGATAATTATAAATGTTATCAATCGTTATAGCATGTGTCTTATGGATCTTTAAAATATTTAAACGATAGACAATAATAATATTATATTATAAATTATCAACACTTGTTTGAGTGAAATTAATTCCAGTTTCTCATGCGTACGAAAACGAGACGAACAATAGGTATTGTATTTTTTTGTATCTGATGTAATACATAAACATATGAAACCAATTACCTAATATTTAGGGCAATTTATATATAATACACATCTTACATAGGTACAATGTACATCGATATATTTATTAACACATATATGTGATTGATAATTATATTGACGTGACTAAGATAGAACATATTATAATGTTGATTCAAAATAAATTTTGTCACGCTACTATAGTTTTAATTTTTTTTTATGTTTCAAGACTTGATTTAATACTTAGTATTAATAATGAAAAAAGAGGAACATAGGAGATAATGTAAGAAATATAGATTAGAAAATTCGACGGAAATGCGAGATCAATATCAACATTTGACAAATTTGGCAGACAAACGAGGTCTACAATGCAGTAGGTACAATACTTAAACAAATATAGTATCAATGGAATATTGTAGATATCCATATTCAAGAACACTTTCAGAACAATATCGCAAGGTACCTAATGGCTAATGTTATAATAATTACAGATATAGATTAAAAATAGAGATATTTTATACTTAAAAATGTGTTTTACACAATACTAGTCATGTTGTAATTTCAAAGAACTGACTAATTAGTCTATTATAACGTTAAAAAATAGGTACTTACAAAATAATAATAACATGCCATTGAGTTTTTGAATATAAAATAGCAATAATTTCTTTAACCCATAAAATACTAATAAAAAAAAATAAAGGACGACAACATTTATATTTTTCCTTTGAATATTTCTATGAATTAAAAACTAGAAGAGCGTACACGCAAAGTATATGTATATACCACTTAGGACGAGCGTCTTACATTGTTACATAAAATACACTGGTGCACCCATATAAAAATCAAGTTGACATGCGATTGTTGAGATTCTCAGTAATAGTATGATTAATTATCTTGGATGAAAATCAATTTAATTGTAATTTATACCGGTAAAAAATCTATGTTAGATTCAAAATTAATTTAATCTTTATTACTTATCTGTACCCAATAAATATAATGCATGGCAATCGAAACTATGAGTATTCTGTAATATTTTACTCAATCAAAAATGTTACATAGGTAAGGTTGCAATTATTAGGTAATATATTTTTGATAAACATGTAGTTTCAATAAACTTTATCAATTTATCATTCTTAAAATGTTGTCAAAGTGGACTTATTTTTAAATAATACCTATGAATAAAATGTAATTCGTTATTTCTCTAAGTTACTTATAAATAATTAACGTTGTAACTCTTTTATTCCAAGACAAACGATGTAACTATAATAATTTAATGTAACTAAAAAAATACAAAAAAAGTTATAGTAAAATAATTTTAAAAAAGACCAACTAATTTGTTAATTAATACGAAAAAAATTATAATTATAAATATTCGTCCTCTGAATTTTTTTTTTTGTGTATAAGTGCCTGCTCAAATTACTATTCTCATAAACAAAATTGTATAAGTATTTAAGTTAAATTTGAATTTAAACTTTTATGTTTAATAGTTTATTATACCTGCGTAGTATATAACTCGCACCTTAATAGTGTGAAATTTTTAAGAATCCAACTACTACTATTTGAATCCTTAAAATCCAAAGGTAACAATACGGAAAAGAACTACCTAAGTTGTAATTATTAACTCAATAGGTATCACATTTCTTTTAGCCAAAACAACACATAAGTACACAAAATTGTTAAATTACATAAAAGTAAAATTGAGAATCTTTTATTTTAAAAATGAGTAAATATGAGTAATTCAGCTGAAATGTAATTTTCAATTTATTTTAAATAATATTTTATTGCTAGCTAAATTCAAATCGAAGAAAATAAAGTGATAATTTCAATATAATTTGGAAACAGAACAGATGAAAAACATAATACAAGAAATATCGTAAACCTCTTAGTTGAAATTGTTAAAAAAAATTAAGCCGGACATTTATTTATGTGTTAAAAATAAGAATATAACTTTTATAAATATAAAGTTTAATTTAATTATTAACTTTGACATTTGTGGTGTACCAACTGATACACTATTTAATTAGTACAAGACGTAGGTACGTATCTATAACATTATGCGGAATACAAAATAAAATACATACCCATAGTGTTTATAAAGTTTAATTTTTATACTTCGTAAATTACGAGAGTGTGATGATTAATTTTTATTTTAAATGTAGCAGTTTGCAAACAGAATTTCTATATTTTCATCTATTTACTTCATGCGGCTCGATAACCCATTCATTAATGTCCAATACCAATGAGTAATTATAAATATTTAGTACAAATTAATAATTATGTACTCAATTACAAATGTATTTGAAAACAATAATAGTTTTTCAATACTTTTATAAGAATAATTTACAACATTGTTTAGCAGACATGAGACATATAGAAATAAACATTTCAAAATATTAAATGTGATAATAGTTTGAACCAAATAAATAAGAAGTGCCAGTAAGGCTTGTCTCGTGTGATTATGAGAGCAAAGTCACTCTTAATTAACTGCATAATATTATATAATATAAAATCATTATAATATACCCAACTTGACAGATAAACAGAACGAATGTCAGAGATTTGCAAATAGCATCATTATCTACGATCTTGTCTCTTTTGGATTAAAACAGTGTCTGTCAGTTGTTACGTTTAAGCATTTTCTTGTCTTCTGTTATTCTTAATAGGCACTAATAGTCTTAAAAAAATCAAGCAGCAAATTGATACATATGACAATTAAACACTTACAGGCGAATTTTAGCAAATATAACTCAGGACTGTTGGTGTAAATGAACTGAAATAAGCATTCCACAACCAGTAGAATAACATAAAATAGAATATCGTTAGAATTTACTTAGGACTACCCTGGACTAGAAAGGTTCACAGTTTATTATGGTGACTTTCTTCGGGATTTGAGCAGGGGCGTATTTACCCTAGGGCTAATCAATGCTCTAGCCCTGGGTGGCAAATTTTAAAAAGTGACAAATTATTAGCCTTGGGCCGCAAAAATTATAATTACATCACTGGACTTGAGTTAGACGCAGCCTTTTCCGCCTTTTCCGACATTTCACTTCTCAGTCAAACCAAAAAGTTTAATGCTATGTTGTACCTACAGAAAAATACTAAAAATATAATTTGTATAAAAATGATTTAGTATTAATTTGTTCTCCGTAGTACAGAGTGTGTACATATATACGATATACTTACATGGTAGTCTCCGTTAAATTCAACGACCATCAATCAAATAATAAATGACAACATCATGTAAGTACCTACCTACCTATGTATTTTTATATTACATAATTTTTATATTTCTTCTATTTTTTATACTTTTCTATACATATAAGATAAGTAATGTAAATAATAAACATTTTGGTCTGGCCGATAAGTGAATCGTCAAAAAATGGTAAGGTAGTACGATTTTGGTTAAAAATGTTCTCACCCATGTATGAGACGAACGAGCTTATTACCTTCGGGTCTATAGACGTTCAGGTACAGGCAGTCTTCGGAAATCTTGACAGGACCAGGAGTGACGGTGGAGAACAGCCGATGGACAGGATGTGACCGGACTGGCGGATCCGGGATGCAGGCTGGCTTGTGTGCGGACCCAACGAGGACGCCGCTCCACGTGGGCGGAGGATCGACATCAGGCGGCGCAAACCGCAGGTTGCCGATGGGTGGCTTGGCGAACGGTATGCCCAGGTACGTCCAGGCCCTGTTCCCGATCTTGTTGAGCTGCACCTCAACACCGGAAACCGCACCCTGCCTGGGGATGTTGACCACCGGTGCATCCCGGTTTCCGCTGCCGGCTCTCTGTGACTGAACTTGGCTGCCACAGATACAGACGCACGCGTAGGCCACCAACAGCAGCGATGGGCCTCGGATCCGGTTGCGACGTCCCAGGGCGGACGACCTTGTCTGGTTCAACGGTACCATGGTATAGCTTCTAGTATAGTATTCGTTACCGATATATGAATATGTATACCGCGGTCACAGTCGTAATGCAAGCGTTTTGTTGACGGACGTAGTCGTGTGTATTATGATAAATCTATTATGAATTATCGTATAGCTGCCGGTGGTAGTGCGCGGACCGCCGTGGACTGTGTGCGTGACGACGACGACGACGACGACGAATGAAAGGAAGAAAGAAAGAAATGAAAAACGTCCGTGCGCCGGGGCAAAGACCGAGAGTGGCACCCTCCACCGCGCCGTGCGCAACCGACCACTTGCCGCGTCCGCCCCTACCCGACGTAATAATAGCTGTTTCACACGGAACACAACAACGGCGGCCGAAAACTCTCCGTAAGTATATTTTTACGAATAATATTACCATCAAATAAACGGGGTGAGAGGTGTCTGCAATATAGACATTTTTCGTATGCGGGGTATATACCGTACGAGTGATAATAATATAAGAAGCGATGAAAGACGCTACGCTCTTTGCGCACGCGACGTATTCGTCGATTATTTCGCTCACTCGGACGCCGTTTATGGTATCCCAAGTCTCAACATGTTATTAAATATATTTTACGTAACTAAGCAAGGGAGTACATCTATAATATTTAAAAATTCACGTATATATAACGTGGGCGATCGTTATTATTTTAAGATGATTTTCATCGATAACGATACCGTGATATAATAATACGCACATAATACAGCGACCGCGTGCAATGTCTGGCGATCGGCGGGAAAAAATGTAAATTTCCCGAAAGGGCGCGAGTGAACAACAATAACAATATAATATTAATAATAATCGTCGAAATTACGTCCTCGGCCACCCCTATTTCAAACCCCACAACACCCACCGATAAGTAGCCCCAATTGACCTTGGTGTAGCCATCGCGCCGCGTGGCAGAATTTCATTATCGCGGCCGTCACGCTCGGACCCGATTGAAGTCTAAGATACGTAGGTATAATATTATATGTAATTGCACGCCGCCTCAATAAACGTGAACTTTAATACATATATGTACTAGCGCATATACCGCTGGGTGTATAATGCGCAATAAGTCTTCGAGTCAGACGATCGTCTTTTTAATGAGAGTTTTTCATAAATATTTTAATATTATTTTAATTTATTTCAGAAAAACTACACTACCCTAATCTATAGTTGAGTACCTGAGTTCTTTAACCTCGTGCTGCACCATATATTTGCATTTTAAAACTATTATGTAAGTATATTATGACGTTTTAAAAAGGTGATTCATGATACATAAAACATAAACCTAATAATCCGAAAATAAAAATTAATTTTAAATTTTAACTGACAATTATAGAAAAAATAATAATATTCTCAAAGTTTAAAAAAGTGTTTCGACTAGTGCTCACCTCTAGGAGTTTAAAATTCAGAACTTATACAGCATTATCTAAACATTGTTATTTTTAATTTTAAAATCAATAAATATTTTGTTTAACTTGAACGTTTTATGAGTGATTTAAGAGTTAAACGTCTTTTCCCTTATAAAGAGAAAATATGCACTTGCACCTTTCACAAATAAATTACATATTGTTATTAGATTATGATTCAATTTATTGTTCTCAGTTTTTTTTAATAATAAGAACAAAATCACAATTATAACATTAACAATATACATACATATAATACTAACAATAAAATAATACGTTAAAGTGAACACAAGAGGCTATTTCAGTGTCTCAATTATAAATAATACAATTAATTGACTTTTGAGGCTCAATAAGAGGAGATTTAGAGACTAAGCCCCCCCCCTGCTACCCCCTCCTATTACAATGAAAAAAATCTTAATAGCTATTTGCGATTATGTCCACGAAACACGTGTAACTGCAGCCGCCGTACTAGAACTATTAAATAAAATAGTCGAGTATAACGGGTTTGCATGACAGAATCAGTGGACTCAACACACCATTACAGCACGATATCTACCTCTGCGTTAGGATACTGGTGTTTTGTGAGCTCTCAAACCCACTGGCGTTGTGCTAGGTAGAGGAAGCAAACCTGATGGAGGACTTCAATTAACATCTCCAAGACGTTGAGAATTTCTAGAGAGCCTCGAAGCTGAAGGCCATCGGGGATCTAATTCGCTCACTCGGAAAGTCTCTCATCGACTAAGGTTTATTATACCTCTTGGAAGTCTGTCTACTCAATAGGTGCTAGTGGCACCGAAACAAGACGACGGACTGTTAGGCGCAATAGACGGCACGATGGGCCCAACAATTGGACGACATGGACGACGATCATCGAACGGTGAACGACCCCGAGATGGGGGCCGTCGACAACAATAGTAACATAGCAAAACATTTCTAATTCGACGGACTTGGATGTACCGGATAAATGAAACTATACGGATTCCTCATATTAACCGAGGCCGGTTTCCAGTAGGACGGTCGGTGTTGTCCCTCGTGGAAAGTGGCATTACCATGCAAACTTCTTTCGAACTACCGTGGGGTAAGCTTATCGATGACTCTACATTAGTGGTTTTCCGGTGCATTTTTGTATGTAAAAAATGCACAGTACATGCTGGTAATGGAATCGTGGATACGTGTAAGATTAATCGCCGATTTCTAGAGAATCACATGTGACTTTCATAATATATTCATAATATTTATTTACAGTTTTCGAAGCACACAAAACTGCACTGTTTCCGAGTGAATGAGTGACCTTGGCTGTTGTATCGTGTATCATGTCCTTAAATGGCTTTTTTCCCACTACTTTATTCACTTTTTATCATCCGTTGTTGTGTCTGCCATAACTTGAACCTACTACCCGTGCCTCCCTGGTATGCTGATTATATATTGTCTGGGGATAAGAAGTCTGTCGAACCTTTAACGTATTGGTGTTTATTTAAGGTGACTGACTTGCAAGAAACTCAAACATGGTTTTATATTTAACACTTAATATATCAAAAGTACAGTGAATAAGCGAGGGGGGACTATATTAGGTTAGGTTAATTACCGATTTTCATGGGCCATGTAAGACATTTAGACACTCAAAATGAACTATCAAAAATTCCAGTCATCGAAAAGAGGTCACTAGAGCACTAAGCCTTTTAACAAATCCTTATAAAGTTATAACCAAGATGTTTCAACAAACCACAACCCTTAACATGAAATTACAATCCTTATTACCTTCTCAAACTCTTGAGTTTTAAACGAACATCAACGAGAGACCAACGTGCTTTACTTTTATGACGTTGTCTCCGAAATCGGTACTCACTCTTAGCAAGTTACACACTTCCACCAGAAGCTATAAGTAGGTAGTCATCATATCAATAAAGTAAATTATTTAAAATTAATAATATCTCACTCCAATTTCTTTTTCGATGATAATCGAAAGTTAAAAAAATTATACTTTGTTCTTAGTTTATTATATTATGTTACTTTAAAATGTATTTGTAGTAGCTTTTATCTTAATAATATTATGTTATTTTTAACTTACATATAATGCACTCTCTGCCCTTTATATCATGAAATAACTAACTTTAAATAAATTCAATAACTCATTATGAGTTATGACTTTTATATTAAAATAACTGTCCCTACCGGCGTTGCCCGAACCAAAGATTTTTTTTTGTAAAAAAATGTATTTTTTTTTCCATATTTCTGCAGGCTTTGCCCGGGTTGTATAGTACTGCTTATATTTTAATGAGGAGCATTTTATTCAGCTTCTGTCGGTCTTAACTTTTTCTCCACCACAGCAAAGACGAGGTGCTTCAAGGGGTAATTTTTTTGCTCGGCAATACTGACAAATCATGCACAACATTTAATCACAACATAATGAAAAATCTAAATGAGATATGCAATGTAAATGAAAAAATAAATATTGTTATTTCAAACGACATTTACCCCTGAATCAGAAGAATTGTGAACAATGAAAAGTGGCTTCAAAATAGCCAATTTCAAATAAAACCACATGTGAATATCGCTCACTGGCTAGGACTTGAACCGGGCAGCTCAAGAGTCAGAGTAAAAAGAAAAGTGAAAATATTCTTACAAAAGCTGAATAGTAAAAATAATGAATCTGAAGTTCGAAACGGTGGTTTCGGTGCAACCACAAGCAAATGAAAACTTTTTTTATATTTTATGCCTTTCAGCGACACTGGGAGGCCATTTTACATGAAAACATCGCACATTGAGATGAAGCTATTAACTAATAAATACGTTTTATTGAATAGAAACTACATTGGCGATTATTGCCAAAGTTTTAACCTTAAATGTTTATTAAAATTTACCGAATCATACCTACGTATCTTTAATATTTTTTAAACTGCTATTATAACAACTTTTATAACTAAATTGCTTGTGCTTATAAATTGCTCAAAAATAGTCAAAACATTTTTTAAAAAAATGTACCATATAAATAAAAATGTCAAGTGTCCATAGTTATCATAGTTATTTAGTTTTAAATAAATTACAACAAAATAAGCTCGGTCATTAACAAATAGTTACCTTACTGGTGAATATCCAATGCCAAAAAACTTCAAATGCTCATAAAAAAATTAATTTGATATTCCAGTCAATTTTTTATTTTTGTTAAAAGTAGTAAAGCATATTATGAAGAAAAATGTATTCAATTTTCAAATCTTAAATATAAAAATAAACTTTTATAAATTTCTATCTGAAAATAATTTTGCAAATGATCGTGATTTTAACAAATTTTGTCAAAATTCCAAGTTCAGGCTCTTGTAAAAAGTCATTGTGAATATACGCTATACCATTTTTCAATTACACAAATAACAACTTATAAGAGACCTTATATTAAATTTTCTGTTTTTTTGACACAGCAAAAAGTTTGTATCGACAATAATTTATTAAAAACTAGCTTATACAAATCAAAAATATACTATAATATTTTGAAAATTTTATCATGTTTAGAAAATGGTTTAGAACATATTTTATGATAAATTCATGTTTCTACTGTAGTACTTTTTGAGTTCCAATAAAAAAAATCTTTAGAAAAGTGTTCTATAAACTTAATGTTTTTACAGTTGTACAGAAATGAAATCCGAATAACCTAATTATTCTAAATAGACATAGTTTTGTCTAATAAATTATCTAAATCATGAAATTGATAATATTCTGCTTCCAACCACCTTACAAGACTTAAGTCTAGAAAAAAAAGACAATTTATTACATTAAAAATCTTTTATACAAGGTATCAATATAGAATTGTGTATTTAAATTAATTTAATAAACGTCATTAATTTGGCCACATTACATACTCTCTAAATAAAAAATATATACATCCGTAAGACTTGAACATTTAATTATTTGTACCGTTTCGTCACGATTGAAGTACCTGTTGGGAAAAAAACACAAGATAATGAAATTAATAAATAATAATAATAGCGTGATTGCTGCTGACCTATCAGGGAGTTATGGAATTTTGAAACATAATATATTACTTCTAAGTATACATATAATGTAGAACAGTAGAAGGTGAAATACAAGATAGCTTGCTTTGCATACCTAAGCCAATGGTAGAATGGTGTATCTTTATTATTTTACAAATTATAATATTTGAATAACATTATTTTGATCGGAACTATTGTGTTTAATCTTTTTTACCTAACCCATGAAAATCAACAAATAATTAACCATAACGTATTTTTAAATTTTTAAATTTATAAAAAGTATCAGTACACTATAAAATTAACCTTGATTAAAATTTTAGACTTTGGAAGTTTTGTTTGTATCGAATTTGCTTTTTATTGACCAGAACACTATTAAAAAAAAAGTAGGTACAGCCAAAATAAACAAAAATGCATCGTTGTAGGACAAAAGCCATAACGTATTTTAAGCTGTTCATACTATTAATGCGAATCAATTGAAATCCTGATCCTGATCCATAAACAGTTAAATCATTATTTATTGTTACCATAATATAAAATGATATTATATAATAATATTTAGAAAAAAAATACATAATATTGTGTGCAAAATATTCGAAAAGATGGCTATAGCCTATATGTATATATATATAAGTATATAACCATTCTGGTACGAACACTGGCCAATACAACAGTCAACAATAATATTATATTATATTATAACAGATTATAAATATCATGTACATTATGTATAATATGTATGTACTGGTTATTGGTACACACTACATATTATACTCGATACTCGAATACGTGATTCGGTAGTGTAACTTTATATATTTACCAGATTTAACAGAACCACTTAAAGCTGTAGGTCCTAAGTTCACTACGGAATATGAACACTGCTTGTCTTCGTCCGAATAACTGTAATTTAAATAAAACATTTCAATGTATTATTCAATACCTACATCTTATATTATTAATTTATTTTTTCTCTTATTTAAAGTAAGATTTTGAGTACTTTTTAAATTTAATTTTTTTTTCAAGTAAAAGATAAACATTACAATCCCTATTTGTGCATTATTATAAGTACATATTCTGTTATACAGAAGTCAAAAAAGAAAACCTTAACTTCCGTTCAAATATTTTGCTTTTCCCAAAAATAGATACTATTATTATTAACTTTAATGACGATGTATATTTGCATAACATAGATAATGGTTTTGTTTTATAATAAATGTATTATATTTTATTATGAAAAAATTATATTATTATCTTATTATTATACAATATATAATATAAAATTCGTAATATAAATTTAGATATTACCGTTGATTTTAAAATTGTATATGGTAGGTATTTTATTTCATTAATATTAATAATACAGTAATGGCATAATAAGTAGAAAAATCATTAAAATAATTTATATTTCAACGTAATAAATATTGAAAGAACATATATCACATAACCTGTCTTACTAGTTATAAATAATAATAGATAGTTTAGAACCGTTGGCGCAGATAAGGAGGTGGGAGGATAGAAGTTTTAAAACTGAAATTGCCAATGGAGTTTCGAACCTTTTAACGCTAGAATTACTGCTCATCAATGATACCGAGCTAGACCCGCAACTTGATTTTGCTTTATTCAAAAACAGACCGGACACGACAGGTAATTCCAAATCCTTTTCCGACAAATATTGCTTAACAGTCGGTTCGACTTCTATGTGTCGAACAGACATTTCCGACAACTGCTCCAAAACGCACTTGTTCACTTTTTTCATCATCCTCACCACGATATCCCGCTGTAAAAACTCGAGCATTAATTATGTTCTAATCATTTGAGTGATTTGTATGTTTTCATCATAAAGGCATTATAAGATTAAATATAATAACCAAAGGGGGGGACGAGGTGACCGAGTGGTCTGACTCTTCCGCTGCGACGCAGCCGGTCGCGGTTCGATCCTCGGCCACCGGGCGGCATTTTTCTCCGGACAAGTCGCGGTGACCGGAGAGCAAGTGCTGCCATCCCCCACCCCCGGGGCATGGCAGAAACCTACGGGTGCCCCATTCGAAATTCTGCCAAAACAAACACACACGTGTTCCCCCTACCGTTCCAAAAACCTACAAACCATCAATACAAAAACCTACAGTACCTACTAATAGCTAATGGCCACAGTTGCCGGGCTCAGGATCAATTAAAAAAAAAAAAAAAAAAAAAAAAATAACCAAAGGAATAATTTGTAAATTTCTATCATTTTATACTTAAAACAAACAACCAATAAGTAACATCATTTTTTTTAAATCGACAGGTCAGGTTTATTTTGTCCAAGAAAATACGTTAAAAATATTTACTTATACAGTTATACAATTAAGTTCACTTTAATAATATTATCTTTTCTCACAAATTAAGGTTAGAAAATATAATATATCAATTACAAATTATTCCAACATTTTTATATTAGGTATGCATCATTAATACTTATCATACTTTTATCAATTCAAGTGCATTCCGTTTATCGGGATCACAACACTTGTCAATTGTTTTCATATCAAACTCGATTCGGTTATTTGCTCGGTTTAGTTTCATTATTTGTTCATTGGACTCTTTGAGCACGCGTTCACGTTCACCGTCTTTGATGTCTCGAATGTTAATCAAACTTTCTAATTCTTCACTTTTTACTTTATATTGAACTTCTAAATCCTGTAGTGTATTATTTATTATTATTATAGAACACATATGGTAAAATGTCTTATGCCTAACTTATTTAGTTATCTAATAATAATACCCATGTCTACATTAGGTATCCATGACATGTATATTCTCGCTGTCACTACTTAATCAGTTACATTCTTACATATAAAAATAACTAGATATGATAATAATATGATATGAATATCTATAAACTAACTATTTTTAATGTTCTTAATAAACAATGCGTTGGAAAAAATCCAAAATTGAAGGATATTAAAATCTAAAATATCCATTAGGTTGTAATAACGTATATGTATCAATTCAAAATATTAATTCAAGTTATGACAAATAAATATTTTGTATGTTGTCTTAAGGTCATATTATAAACCAAATCTAAAAATATTTCAATTTTTATTAAGAAAATAAACAATCTATAATTTAAGGAAAATCATCATACAAATATCTATTAGAGTAGACCAAATCAAAAAAATAACAATTTTGAAAAAGAGGCATCTCTTAACACAACTTAATTTTAATCCAAAATAAAATGCCAGAAAGATAAATTAATTTTGTATAATATCAAGAAAAATTATTATTAATTTATTATTATTTATTATTATTAACTAATTATTATTAGTGCAATGAAGCAAAGACTTTAAATTCTACCTATAGTCTATAGATATTAGATATAATAATAATTCCAAAAAAAAAACATACTATGATATTTGATACAATTGTACTTAAATAATAACATTGTTGAGTAGGTATACTAACAGTTACACTTTTACTTTTTTTAACTTGGACAACAACAAAACCAAAAAAATTTTTTTCATTGTTAATCATATCCAAACGCGATAACTTAAATAACTGCCAATACAAAAATACAGAATTTACATTTTCATTTTAGAAGATCCAACTATAATCTATCATAGTTAATTATTATATTAAAATAAAAATACTGATCTGCAGTACAGTAGGTTACAAGAGGATTGCTAATGTAGTTACATAATTCAATGATATGATATTAAAATTGTATACGAAAAACGATTCTAAGCGGAGACGATGTATAATATTGATATATTGATGATGTGCAACACTAATTTTTAAAAAACTAACAAAAATAGAAATTGTCTTATATCTATAAATAGCTCAGAATCAAAATATTTTTAAATAATCAAAATGATGAAAATTTAAATTACTAAATTATATAAAAGTTTTTTAGTTACACCAAAAAAACTAAATCAATTTTGTCAAGAACTAAAATTTGTCTGACATTTTTAAATATATCTGTGAACTTTAAACTTTGACTTCTCAAAAGTACCTACTAAATAGATTTACTTTCTCGCCATAAAAGATACGGAAGTTGAAAATTGAAGAATTTTTTACACTTCTTATCTTGTAAACAATGTAAACAGACGCAAAAAAATACACACATCATTGTAAAATCAAAACATTCATCAATCCGCTGAGAATCTAAAATATACAGGAGTAAGTACATGAGTTGGTACAATAAAGTTGGTGAACCACCCACTGCAAGACAATCTACACCTGGTACCGCGAATTTATTTGAAGCGCTATAACTATAGGAATACGACGTTTTTGTTTGAATGTACATATTTACTCACTCGAATTTCGTTCTCCAGATTTTCAAGAGTTTTTTTTTTCTGCAGCCACATGCTGTTGAGTTTTTCGTATGTCTCCTCCAGAACAACTTTTTCCTTGTACTCCTCACCTACAACAAACTCTCATAAATTTGGGAACTAGTGACTGTAACCGAGTCTGAGGCGAACCGACTTTCTGGATTCACAGAAGACATTCCGGACTTGTAACAGTGGTTGTTGGCGTTGAGCACGTGCAACGTGTTCTCCATGGCCCGGATCTCGGTCTCCAGCTTTTGCACTCGCTCGTCCAGCCGGTCACCAGTCTCCTGCAGTTCAAGCTTTTCCTGGGCTACTCGGATCCGGTGCTCGCTCATCCTGAACGACGATATGTCTTCGTCAACACCGTCGCAATCGTCGTCACCGCTGCCGTCCACGGTAGTCCTGGCTGAGGGACCTCCCATTGTAGACAAAAGTATCTGGTGCTTGGTCTTCCGTTGTTCGATGTACTGGACCATCGAGTCCAACTTGCGTTTTATCGTTGACTTCTCATCCAACAGCAATTTTTTCTCGTCACTGATCCGCTTATAAATTTCCGCCACTTCCTTTTTTCTATTGTTTATGCCCTACGCACGAGCAAAACGCCAATGCTCAAACAATATTACAATTTATTATGCTATGCACGCCAAGTTTAAATTTAATATTATATGAACATGTTTCAGCTGTCATCGTAACATTTTGTCATGCTGTAATTTAATTGGTTATGATAAACGTGTACCTACCATAGTTAATTCTTCACGCTGCTGAGCCAACGAGTACACTTTATCGCATTCGTTGTTCGTCAACTTCTTCATTTGTTCTATCTTAAGCTTCACCATCATTTCTTCCATGTGATACCGGTGATTAGTTTCTTTTAAGACTTGAATTTGTTTTACACCTATATTATAAGAGGAAAATAAAACGTAAAACGCCGTTAACTAGTTTAACCCAATAACACCAAAGGCACAATTAACAGCAGTATCGAACCTCCTTCATTAGTCACGTTCAATTCTTCTACTCGATTTCGGAGAATTTCTAATTCTGTAGTATTTTTTTCGATTTGTTTGGTTATACGTCGGGTTTCACTCTATAACTCATAATAGGTAATCTCATTATTATTATTTTCTAAGGCGTGTAGTCGTTTTTATCGTCACCCACTTCAGTCGATTTTAACTGCTTTTCCAACTGATGCTGGTGATCGATGGCCTGCCTTAATTCTTCGTTACACTTTTGCAACTTTTCTTGCATAACTTTCATCTCTTCAATATCCGTGGTTCCCTTGGCTTCAGCAATTCCTATTCGTATAGTTTCGAGTTGAAAGCTCTAAAATAATCGCTGTATTAAATCTGTTTACATTGTTTTTCTTGATATGCAATCCTATTACCAAGTTGTATACGATTTCTTTTTTTTCCAAAATTAATTTTTTTAATTTCGATTCTTCCTTACTCAGTAGATTTTGTTTGTTACAAATTCGTTCTAATTGACTTGTCAACAAATCGATGTTAATTTTTTCCTGGCTTATCTCATTTCGTACGTTATACGCAATATTAAGTAATTTATTTTTTTCTGACATAAATTTTTCTGCTTCACTTTTTTTTTGCTGAGACAAAACAAACAATAATGACCAAGTAATTTTAAATAATAAATAATAATTGTTAAAATTTAAAATCAAACTATGATACATTGTAGATCAAATTCAGTTCATTTAATCTCTCCTCCGTGGTCATGGACTGATTTTTGATTTTAGACAAATCATCCTTTATTTTTGCCAAGCTTTTTTCCTTTTGTTGTATCTGGGTTTTTAATTTTGTTAATTCGTTTTCCATATGCTTACGTTTTGTACGCTCATTTTCTAACTTATTGCCCATAACACTCAGAGCTTTTTGAGCGGACAACACCTGTGAACATTTTAAGAGAATAATAACATTGATAGCAGGCTATGCACATTGAAATATAGTATATTTTAAAACTTAACCTCTGATTGTAAATCTTCAGTTTCCGAAAGCTTATTAAGGGTCGATAACTTCAGCTCATTATTGACTTTATTTACTTCTTCCATTTTATTTTCTAATTCTTCATTTTTCTCCAAATATTCTTGATACTTCTGTTTATTTTCATTCATATTATCATACACTTCACGAGCAGCTAACCTAATTTTATTGATTTCCTGAAATCGCCGTTAATTTTAAATATTTTGAATGATTGTCACATTTCAAGTATGATTATGATACTGACTTCAATGGTATTCTGAGAATCTTTTTGATTAGAGTTCAAAAAATTAACTGCATTTTCCCATTGTTCAAGCCGGTGGTTTCTTTCATGTTGTGCTTGTCTAGTTAATCTAGCAGTTTGTTCTAGCTCTCTTTCTACTTGAAGTAGTTCACCTACTTCTTTTTCCACAAGTGACTCCCTGTCAATCACATCCCGTTGAAGGTATTGTCTTCGTAATTCCAATTCCTAAATTATGCAAATTGCATAAATGTACATATTTGAAACTATTTATGCTGCAATATAGCTATTACCTTAAACCTGTTATTATCCTCTAAATGATATGTCTCGAGAATATTAACATCTGTACATCGTTTAACCAAGTCGTTGTTCCATGCCAAAAGCGTTTCATCACCCCATTCGATAGTTTCTTTCAATTCTTTTATTTTTTCATCGGTTTTTGCCAACTCATTCTAAATAATATCATATTTTATAAGAATATGTATTATAATAAACACATAATTTATTTGTAATTTGTTTTAAATTATATTTCATCATTATAAATGTGTAACAATATAGACATAATGTACTATTATCTATAACTATACAGTATACTCAACTTGAGTGTTGTACATTGATTTATTTTTAAGCTAATTTATTTTTTAGTATAAAAATGTGGTGCAACGACGAACTGTAAAACATTTTTATAAAAAACACAATCATTTTTTTAAAATATATTATACAATACAGGTATCTATAATCTAAGGATTGATACATTTAATTGTATTTACTATTTAATAACTATTATTATATTTTATAATATAACAAAAATTGAGTTTTTTTGTACCCGAATATATTTGTTCAGTTTGACATTCTGGCATCCTAGATGTCTATTTCAAAAGAGAAAAAGAGAAAAATAAAAAAAAATGATTGGTAATAATAATTTAGATAATATAAAGATTAATTTTTTTATTTATACCTAGGCTTAAAAAAGTCAGCTAAATATTAATCATAAATTTATATAATATCTCTACATATATTATATTTTTCTTAAGTAGATTTTAAAACCATTTTTATGTATATCTTTTTAAACATCAAATTTTATTTTACTTCTAGATTCTGAGCGGAGCGAAAAAATGTATCGATTTTACAATGATAAGTGTTTTCTTCTTTCTATATTATAAAAGTGATTATAGTTGGTACTTTGGTTAAAGGAAAAATTCACAGTAGTTTTCAAAATCATCGGGCAAAACAATAATTTATTTTTATAAAAATCCAATTTTTTTGTCATTCAAAAACTTATCGTAGGTACTTTAAATCATCTAAAAATGTTAACAATGACAATTTACCAAACATGATTAAATTTTCAAAATATTTTAACTCTCTATGATCTATTTATAGCTATTTAGCCATGAAAACCTTTCGATTTTTAGGACTATCATGTAGTAGTATACAAGAGCTATTGCATCTTGGAATATCGTAGTAAGTACCTGATAGTATTAAATAAATATTTATGATTTATGGTTTAAAATTTATATTTATTTAAATTAAATATTTTAAACTATTTTTAACATTTTCTAAGCTATGGATAAAAATAAATCAACGGACATAACAATCTAGATTATGGAAACACTATTTATTGTTCAATACTTGCAGAGTAATTGTGTTGGAAATCACTTAATAATTTTGAATTTAATTAATTAATGATTCATAGCTCATGATTTGATTAAGCGATATCTAATAGGTCATAACTCATAATTAATTATAATTAATATTTAATACCGTTATAAATATAAAAGATTTTAATCATTATCCAAATATCCCATACTTCCATTTTATTCTGGTTCTCAGTCAATTCATTGAAATTATTTTTCAATGTTCTATATTCCTTGGATAAACAGTCGCTGTCTCTTTGAGCTGCAATCAGCAGATGCTGTTCCGTCTCGTGTTGTTGGCGATTGGCTATGATCAATTTCTATCAAAAAAATTTAATAAGTATATAAATATGACTTTTACTATATAACGAACAAATACTAACAAATATAAATATTAATATTAACATATTATTTTATAATTTATTATTATTAGTATATTTAATTGCATAGCTGTAAAATTATTTTTGAAAAGTATTTTGATTAAACTGGGTTCTATTATAACTGATTTTTAATAATTTACAACAATGCTTATTAAAATACAATTTTAATAAGATTACCTGATTTTGATTCTCGTGATTTGATAAATTGGTTAATATGTTTTTACTATCACGTAATTCATTATCCATTGATTCATCGATAACCAACAATTCTGCTTTTTTTTTAAGCAATTCTTTTATCTGTTAAACATTTTATCAGATTATAGAATAAAACTTTTATTAAAACTAAATTAGAAGTAAATATTATATATTAGAATATACAATTAGAGTAAAATAAAGAAACATAATGATATAAAATTATATTAAATATAGGTACTTGCATAATGCTACATTAAATTTTAAAAAGAACCAAGTTATAAAATCTTGTTAAAAACCAAGGATCTTTCTCGCTTTGCTGTCCAGTAGATGGGATTTCAAAATCCACATGTATCTCGACACCTCGTTATTGAATAAGTTAATGCCCCTGTAGGCTGTAATGGTACCTAATGTCCCGATCGTTGTATATTTTATGATTTTGGGCGGATACAGTGTGTCAGCTTATACTACTAAATTTTTTTAATTATATACTAGCTGATAATACCAGTGGAAATAAATGAAATCGAGATAGGGAATCCATTTGCGGCGGATAGTAATACTAATAAGTTTTTTTAAGTGAACCAATTGTAAGCAAAGTTAAACGAATATGTGTTAATAATTTTAATATTATTAATAGCGGGTAAGCTACCTTAAGATAATTTATTCAATCTATTAACTAAATATTTCATGAATGTCAAAATCGTATTTTTTGAAGCATCAGTCAGTCAGCCAAACACTTTTTCTTTCATAAACCTATAATTATAGTTGTTAAATAACAAAATAAAATACAATACAGATAATTATATCCAATCGTTAGAATAATTATTTTGTTATCTGTAAAGAATGACAGCCGTCCTATATTATATACTTAACCAATTTTCGATTATCGTGAGCCACCCTATACGGACCTAGTAAGGGTTTAAAAACAAAACTACAAACCTTCCATAAGTCTAAAAGAATATATTTATTATTTATATAATTTTTATTGAAAACGATCCCATAATTTTTGAACATGTTCTTTTTTATTTTATAATCGATAAAAAAAAATATCTCTAGGTTAAAAAGATTGAACATAAAATACAAGGTTTCTCCTACGTTTTTATAATATCAGTTTTTTTTTTTTTTTTTTTTTTTATTAGCTTTCACAATAAGTATTACAGCTCGACAATTATTTTACATATATAATATCAGTTAAAAAATATTAAAAAACATTGAGACAAATATTAACAAAATTCATAAAAATCTCGAAAATTTGAAAAATTATTTTGTATTTTAGTTTTTTTTTGATTTTCAGTTTTTAAAGCTTATGATTGAAAATTCAAAACAAAGTTTGTCATAATTAGCCCATATTTTAACTAAAAAATGTAAAACGAATATGCAATATGTATACATGGTGACTAAGGCCATTTAGCTGTTTTGTAGGGGTTATGAACTGTGGTAGGGGTAAGGTTGGTACGGTAGGTTGTTTTTTTTTTACGATTGTTACGGTAGATAGCAAATAAGTGTATGTGTAGCAAGGTTCTTAACTACTGTGAACGCGGGTGGTCACCCATCCGGGAACTTGTAGCTGTGGCCGTTACCTACTCACAGTCGTATTCCGCGACTGGCCGCAGCCAACGTGCCACGCCGAGCCACTGTATTAGTATTATCAATGTCTAATAGTAAAATGAATTACTTTATTAGAAATGATATTATAAAATATACTTATAAATATATTATGTCAAGCAGTCTTCACTCTGAGTCGTTCTTCATATACCTACAATGATTTTATATCATTGAATTCAAATTTAACTAGTCCATAACACATGACCCTACTAACCTCATTTACAGTAGAGGGGTACCCATTTCACACTTGCCCACTTTTTTTTTATCTTGTTCAAATTATAAATAAATACTTATAAAAGTCTACAAGGCTATTACACCATTTGTAAGCTAGCAAATCATAAGAAATTAGAAAAATACCCTTGTAGTCACGCGAGGACCTACCAACTTCATTACAGTTTTATTTATGTATAACGACTAACGAGTTAAGTACCTTTTTTTTTTTGGTGGTATCGACGACACTTGACGACGATAAGTACTGAACTCAACTGCATTGTAAATGTAACTTACTGAACTTTTCTAGGTACCTAGGTACCGACTCAAATGTATATAAATCATAAATGTTTTAATAATGTAGGATTGTCTTTCAAGTCCAAGCATGCAAGTAGGTATCTACCTATTTTTAAAATTGATAATAGATAATGGAATAATAGGTAGGTAAACATTTATACATAAATTGACATATTATAAGTATAGGTAATAAATCTATCTGAAATTGTTCTATATTCTTTAGAATCTTTTACACAGCAATACCAGTATACATATTATACCAGTGGTTTTCAAAGTGGGTGCCAAAACACACAGTTGTGCCGCGGTTTTTCCATAAATTACTGATTGCATTGTGTACGGTGTGCCGTGTATAATTAAAGTTTGAAAACCACTGTATTGCATAATTCTATAAATATTGAAAGTTGTGATTAATTATAAATAAAAACAGTTATGTTATAGTTAGATAATGTACCAACCTCATTTTCAAGTAATTGATTTTCTTCATTTGCTACAGGTATGTGAAAGCCGTCACCACAGCCAATGTCCTTCATTATATCTGTTATTACAGAGTTGTCGTACGCCATTTTTACTGATTTTCCAGAACCTTATGATTAGTTAGAAACTGAAGTCAGAAATAAAATTAAAAATCCATTGAAAAGGCACAAAGTGAAAGAGTTGTTGAAAAAATTGTGAAAACAAACGTGAAGTAGGTACACAAAACTGTCGCCATGGTAACATAGTATGGTAGCGCTATGGTAAAAGGATACTTACCTCGTATGATATATAATATATGTATAATATTAAGTCATTTAGTTAGATTATACGACGTTGTCATGGTGCATATGTTGTCGAGTTTATACGTAGGTAGGTAACCACCTAATGTTTAAAAACCTAGACGACATGATAATGTTTAATATGTATTCGACTATCCAGAATGTATAAGACTTGAGATTTATGAATAAGTACTATTTTCATAAAGGTCCTTAGGACTGCACTCGAAGATATCGTATAATACTTTGTGTATTATAATATGTGCATCGTGTATTAACCACATTTTAATTGTAAGCATAAATGTATAAGCAAAGGAAAGGCATATTATACCTCTCTCATTGCTATTAGTGTATCTTTTTGAATTGTCCATTTCATTTATTTTTTATAGCTAACATAAATGTAGGTTTTTAAAATTAAAAGAAAACAAAAGCAGGTAACTGGTGATAACTCTGCTGTACAGTAGGTTTCAGTGGGTCACTGTAATGGATGGTGTTAAATTTGAGTTCAATGATATTATAAAACCATTGTATACGAAATACGATTCTGAGTGAAGACGGTCAGTCTATAATATTAGTTATTACTTAGTAATTTATTGCCTAAATTTTATTATGTTATTGTGACTAAAGTAATCTATTTTACTATTACTCATAAGTACTACAGTAGGTCAAATTCTTTTTTGTCAGAAAAATTACATTTGAAAAGTCATTGTGTTAAAATATAATATTATACACAAAAAGTTTTGAGTAGGTACCCACAAATAATATTTTTAAATTACAACATAATAACTTAAATCATTATTTTTGATTATTTAATAATATGCAATTTCGTTAAAATTATACCATAAAATGACTACAAAAAAAAAACGGTGTTATACCTATATTTTTTTAGATTTTTTGGTTACAGAATTAATTACATGTTTGAAACTTTGTTTTATATTGTTTGATTCTTATTTATAAAAATTAAACATTTTACAAATATTTAACTACAAAATAATTTTTACATTTTCAATTTGATAAATGCTGTCACTTTAAATTCTTATAAACAAAACCGTATCAATGTATTTTCAATATTTTTCAACTGATATTGTAACTACATATCATGTCAGGAGCCTTGTATTAAATTTTCAAGTTTTTCCCCCCGACAAATAAAATTTTATTGACATGTATAGGATAAAAAACTAAAAAAATTGAAAATAAATAGCTCTGTTAGCTATAAAAAATAAATGAAATTAACGATTCAAAAAGACACACAAAAAGCAATGTTAGGGTATGCCTTCACTTTACTTATACATTTACGCTTACATTCAAAACAAGTCAAAATATTTTTTGAAACTTGTATCAGGTATGTATAGGTGATATAATCGTCAATAATAAATTTTCGTGATTTTTATGAATTTTGTAAAAATTCAAAATTGAAAGACTCATAAAAATGATTGTAAATTTACTCTCAATTTTTCTTTTTTAATTTCCACTAAAAACTTACGAGGAGCCTTGTATTACATTATAAAATTTTTGGCAGCCCTAAAATTTTTTTATAAAAATAAAAATAAAAATTGAATATTTTATACATTTTTTAACTACAAACTTATTTACAAATTTTCGAGATTTAGATGAATTTTGTCAACATTTGAATATTTAGGTACTTAATCCTTATAAAAAATATGCATCTTTAATATTTCTCATTTGCTATTCTAACAACTTATGAGGAATCTTGTACCAAATTCACAAAAATTTCGACAAAACGAACAACACTTTATTGACATTATTAGAAAAAAAAGTAAAAAAATTGAAAATGTCTATAAATAGCTTATAACAAGTCGGAATATTTTTAAAATGTTATCATGTATAAAAAATGTTTAAATAAATATTTGGTAAAAAGTATAATCTACTTTTATTCCTTTTTGAATTACAACAAAATAAGACAATTGTTCGATAAGAATTCATGAATTAACGGCCGAAAATCGAATGCCAAAAAAATGTAAGCTTCAAAAGCTCTTAAATAATAATATTGATTTTCCGGTTAACTTTTTATTCTGTTAAAAGTGGGAAAACTTAAAGAAAAATAAACAAATAAATTATAATTACTTCAACATTTTCAAAACTCAATTTTTTATTTGTTGAGATGTTATTGGTACTGATACATAGAGAATTTGTTTGGAATCATACTTATGTCTGTATGTTATAACAGCATAACATTATTACCATTTGACACTTGTAACAGTGCAAATTAGGTATCATATATTTAAAGTTTAGTATTTAGGTACTATTAAATATATTATGGATAGGTACCTAATGAAATTGCAATAAAATCGCCACATCACAGTAATTTACATCAATAACCGTAAAAAGTCTAAAATTGAAAGGTCGAAGCTGAGAGCTAACAGTCATTATAGATTATTATATGTGTTTTCTTCTAAAAATTAATAGGTTATAGGTTTGCGGGTATATAAAGAATTTGGTTATATTAATATAAAATTAATATTATCTATATTTTTTTATATTAATAAATAATATTGTACCTATCTACATAATAAATAGGCATCGTAAATATTTAGAATATCCAATGTTTATTTTTCCTGAATCAGAATTTATTATTATTTCATTATTATTGTCATTTAAATTTAAATCTGTAACAATTTTATAACAAAGGAATCTGTATCTACGCAAAAATCGTGATCGTGTTTCATTACATCATCTATATGATGGGCTTGTACTCTTAAACAGCTATGGATATGCCAATTGCCACGTATAGCCGTATAGGTGCATAATACACCCAGTTATGTCCATAATGTTATAGAAACACTCATTTTAACAGTAAACATACATTTCCTTGGGATGCATGATAGTAATAAAAAAGTCATGACGGGGGATCCATACTAAAGATAAGCAGGCATATGAAAGGAATATTAGTACCTACTAAATACCTACTTAATACCTATTAAATCAATAGAATTAAATTAATTACCTTTTTTTTTTTTTATTATTTTTTTTTATTATGGTATTATGGTATCGAGGACTGGAGGAGGAACTATGGTGCCAGTACTTCTCATCCAGCCCCCAAATTAAATTAATTACCTCCGTTACCTATTTAGATCAAAGTCTAGTCTCAAATTCACAACCTACACCTATAGTTGGGTAACCTTCTTAACAATTACCAATTTTTCACAAATTCTGCAAATAAAATGACGTGTTTCATCACTACTGAAATCACAAAAATACAAAATGAATCATTGTTCGTACACCTAGGGTGTTATTAATGATTGATCACAGCGAACGTTACATTCAATTTTCTTATGGGGGGAGGGGGAGGGGGCAATTATATACCTAAATATTTTTATTGGAGGATAGATGTAATGATGTATCCGGGAGAGCTTTTGAAAAAAAAAAAATGAATTTTGAGTTGCCGGGTAGCGTAAACCAAATACATTATGATTTTAATACCAAATGCTATTAGTATTTTGACGAATAGGTTCTATATTTTATACATACGTATAATTTTCAAGGCATGTATTTTTTTCATTCTAACCATTTCAAAACGTTATTTTTTGTTCGTCCTTGGGAGTATTTAACCCAACCCCCACCCCCACAATTGTGCGCCACTGCCTATTTCAATAATGCAAACTATTATTACTATTGCTATTAGGGTTGTTAGGTGAATTAGCTAAAATTCAAGAGCCAATTAATGGTTTCATCTTTAATATTATTTGAGTTCTCAAATATTGAAGTTTCTAAGTTAATAGTTTGACTAGTCATTGTTTCTGATGGTTTATTATTTCTACTAAAATCTGAAAATAATTTTTTTACAATTTTTCTTCTAGTTGTTTTGTTTCATTTTGTTTTCTTCCCCTTATTGTCTTTCTCATTTCCTTTTCTTCTTCAATGGACTGTCTCATATTTTCGTTTTGTTCACATAAGTTTTTTCTAATTTTTTGATGTTATTACAAATGGTAGGTACCCTTTCTGTTATTCTTGTACTTTTTCTTTCAGTGTCACAAGCCAAACAAGTCATGACTCGATTGTTTATATTTCAAAATATTATTTATATATTAATTATTATGAATTAGGTACATGATTTTTAATGAAAATCACTAATCATTAATGTTTCCGGATGGTAAATTGGACATTGGTGATAGAAACAATTTACCTAAAGACAAATTTAAACCGGTAACAAAATTTATTATAAAGAATAAATTGTAACAAAAACAGAATTCCTTATAAGCTAGGGCAGAGGACTAAAATCTCGACTAAAATGTACAAAATATGCATAAAAAATATGCATTTTAAAATTATTATGCATATTATAATGCATTAAAAATATGCACTAAAAAATGAATATTTTTTAATAAAAAATAATATTATTTGTATGAATATATTTTATTTAAATTTTGATGTCTGCGGCCGACGTCCCCGTGGCCCGTTTTGAAAATATCTTATGCAGTGAAGAATATCTGTGAGTAATAAAATTAATAACCAAAAACTAAATCTAATCGGAAATCCTCGAGACGTGTTCTCTAGGAAAAACATGCATGTGGGAACAGTCGACCACCATATTAATATGATCAACATTTTAAATAATTTTAAATTCAACATTATTTTGATTGTATATTAAATATTTAAATTAAATAACGTCGACGGTAAAAAATATTGATAAAATTATAAATTATTGAAAATATGCATCTTAAAGTATAGAATCGAAGAAACGTGCACTAAAACCAAAAAAACTCGAAATATGCATTTATATGCAAAATAAAATTTCAAAACTAGCTTTGCTTCAGCACGAAACGTATTTGTTTCTTACTCTACAATTTTTTTGATCGCGCAAAACAAATATGCAAATGCAACAAGTCCTCTGCCCTGCTTATAAGTTATAACACATCTTATTCTTTACATACCTTTTTCTGTTAATAAGCTATCTTGGCTTTTATATACATATTATGTCGTCCACGGTCCTACCAATCAATAATATCAATAGAAAAAATGTTCCATTGCTGTAAAATATTTATCTTTTTATATAAGAAAAACTCTGCTCAATTGATTGGACCTCAGACACCACTGTGCTACATCAGTTTAGAGGAACAAATTTCTAGTTGAAAACAAAAATACAAAAAAAAAATTATACACTAGATATATGTTGTTTATGCTGTATTGCCAGTGGCCGGCAATCGCGTATTGATGACATAGCATGTCAATAACTTATCAAGAATTATTTATAAATGTATTATAGTTACAAAATAACATCTGAAAACGTAGCGGTTGAAGGTATTAAAGGACTCAAGTAATAGAAAGTGATTCTCAAAATACAAACGAGGCGAGCGCTACGCTCACCATGATACCAATGACGAGTTAAGTCTGTGTTTAACCAGCAGACAAAATGGATGATTATACTAATTAATAATTAAATATGATTCCGAAAAATTGCAC